CTGTTGAGGCACTTGTCCCACTGTGACACAAGGCAGTGAATTGCTGTCTCATAAAAGTCCCGTGGCTGCGTTGTCAACTAGTTCTGAATGTACTGCTGGACGTCGTCGTCCGAGGTGAATCGTTTGCCCCTCAAAACCTTCTTTAGGGGACCAAAAATGGTGTAATCGCAGGGAGAGAGGTCTGGACTGTATGGAGGGTGACCGAGGAGCTCCCGCTTGAATTTCTTCAAGAGTGCCATGATTGTGTTGGCAGTATGAGACCTGGCATTGTTTTGGAGCAGAATGACCCCACGGGTGAGCAGCCCTGGTTGTTTCGATTTGATCGTTTGGTGAAGGGTGGTCATGGTTTGTGAATAACGCTGGGCATTCACTGTTGTCCCATGCTGCAGGAAGTTGTTAAGAAGGGGGCCATTTTGGTCAAAGAAGAACATGAGCATAACCTTTCCTGCATTTGTGTGGATGGCCTTGGATTTTTTTGATTTTGTCATTTCTATTCAGGTTTGAAGTGATGACACCATGACTCATCTCCAGCCACTACTTGTGACAGGAACTCATTCCCTTCCCAGGTATAGTGCTCCAGATGATCAAGACAGTGGGCCATTTGACATGCTTCCTGTTGTGGTTGAAGACTGTTCAATCTTTCCCTCATGATGGTGTGAACACTTTCGACACTCAATCTGACCTCAGCAGCAACGGCTGATTGTGCCACACCTTGACCCTTGCAAGAGACATGCAGTGTTCACCGTACAGTTGTGACATTCTTCGATGAATGTCCGTTTCCCCTACTCCTTCTGCTGTCAGAAAATGAGCATCTCCTCTTTGCTCTTCTTTTGATGCCTCCATTTCACTGTTTACAACATGATTGACCATGGTAGACAATTGATGCATGCTTCTGCTAGCTTTGTAGTCATGTGGTATGCACCCATGACCCTCTAGCAGCGGGCTGTGATCTTCCATGCAGTTGTCAGAACCACACATTCTTACACACGCAACGATATTACAATCCTGTCAAATCGGTTTTCACATTCCAGCCTCTGGCTTGTTTCTTTTTTAATAATCCTCATATATATAATCATAATTTTATTATAAATTCAAATATAATATGAATTCTGTGAAATAATTTTATAATTATTTCACAAATATAATATAAATTTGATATTAATAAAGTAATTTTAGCTTCTTCATAAATAAAAATTATTTTGCGATGTAAAATTTTATTATGAATCGAAATGTTAACTGTTTTACTTCAAATAAATTACAACATTTTTGAGTCAAAAAATGTTATCAGGTGAGGGCATAAATTAAGAATTTAACTTCTTCCTAAGCAATAAACAATTTTTTACTTTGCATTTTCTGTTTTCATGAAACAAAATTGCATGTATCTGTGCAGTGATGATTCAAGAAATTTCATAAAAATTTATTAGTTTAAGATCTTAAACTGATCATCTGATTACTTAAGTCAGTAGTTCTTAACCAGTGTTCTGCAAACTTACCTTGAGTGTTCCATGAAAGGAAAGATTTTAAAGTTTTTATTCAAATTTATTCCCAATGCTATATTCATAGATAATTCCATGTTTCTATTTTATTCAATATATTAAAGTTGTATTAGTTTATTGCTTCATTGTTTCCTGAGAATAATATACACGAAATTGCTTATCAATTTTTGAATGTATTGATGCTAATGCTCTAATGTGTATAATAAAAAGTATATGAATGGTGTTCTGTGGTCTCATAAAAGTTGAGAACCACCGCCTTAAGTAATGTACAGGTAACCTCCGTATAACACGGGAGTTACGTTCCAAAAAATTGCCGTGTTGTGCAAATCCATGTTATATGAAACAAAGAACTAGTGCGAAAAGGGGGATTAGGTTCCAAAAATTAAAAAACATGCTGTTAAATCTTTATTTAAATTGGATTTATTATTCATTTTTTTCATAGATAAAATACTTATTTATTATTTAAGTAAATATTTTACCAGATGATTATTCATTTTATATGATGATCTCAGCATGAGCATCATCAACTGGTAACAGTTTGTGAGTGCGTTCGTTAATAGCGGTTGCTCTGCAATGGGAGTGCGCTGCTGTTTGTAGGCATTTAGGAATGACAGTAAAAAAAAGATGGTGGCGCTCGCACTATCGATAGTATCATTATGGAGGAATCTATAATTCTAAAATGATCTTTTAGAGGCAAAAGAAAGGTCCCTATTGTAAAATTTAACCATTAAATGGATTATTTGTTGAAAGAGCATTCAAAGTAGCCACAAAAACAATTAGAATGCTTGCACGGAGGTATAAAAGAACATTTCATGTCCTTTATTACATTTCATGTTGTAGGAAGGTTTTATCCAATTCCCAAACCGTGTTAGATTGAACCTGTGCTATAAAAGCACCGTGTTATACAGGGATGTTCCCAATTCTCAAACCATGTTAGAGTGAATCCGTGTTATAGAAGTGCCGTGTTATACGGGGGTTACCCATAGTTTATGGAATGTGGATGATCTGTGATAGCAAAATACTGATTTATCCTAATACAGATGACATAGTATGGAATATATATATATGTAAAGTTCCATAAAATGTAGCATATTTTCAGAATGAGAATCTTTACAAAAAGCATTTGTAACAAATTCTAAAATCATGTGACAAAGTTTCTAGGAACAAATATTGTTGAAAGATTCAAGAAATGTGTGTGAAAATTTTATGGCAGGCTGTTTTCCAATTAACCTCTAAATAAAAACATAGGTCTTTAATACATAATTAGAAACATTAGCCTGAAATAATTTGTATTTTTGTAGACCATGTTTTACATATTTGTTACTTTATAAGAGTTTGCTGATGTTTTTTTGGATAATAAAAAGTAATATTTTGATTGGCAAATCAAACTATTCATTTAAAACTAATTTTATAGTAAAATTAAGAAAATTTTTGAATAAATTTTAACTTTTAGTCATATATTATTGTAAAGATTTCAGCAACACTTTAGACAAATTGGATTGTTACATTTGATATACTTACAGGAAATTTTTCTGTCCTTGGAAGATGGACACTTGGAACAGGTTTTCTTCTTCTCAAACTTGTCACTCAAAACTTGATTATTTCCAGCAACAGTATTTTCATATTCTGGTATTGCCTCCCATATCAATGCCATGATATCTCTGGGTAGATAAAGAATAATGAGCTGTCTTTGATATTTGGGTCTAACAGTGAGCCAAGCATTTAAATTAATAAAATGGAATTTTTTGTTGACTGGATTTTCACAATTGCACAAAGCCCTTGACGATTTTCAAGTACTTGTTGATGAAATATCCATAATAAAGTGTTAAAAATTAAGATAAAGCTTATTATGAAGCAACAAAAGTAGCAATTGAAACTATATAAAGTACAAATATAAAACCTAGTCTTACATACCTTTGCACTCAATACAGAATATGAAACACCCAGTCAGTAAGCTTCATGTTTTTAAAAAGCTGTGTGTGTGTTGAAACAGTCACAAACTGAACAGTAACCTGTGAATAATGTCACCATATGATTGATAATAAGGTACTGTACAATGGAAGGGAAAGACGAAGTTTGAACAGTTGTCACATTGTAACATACTGTGATAACAATGGTCTAAGCCAGGGGTCGGCAACCTGCGGCTCTTTGGATGTGAAGCTGCGGCTCTTTAGTTCCATACGCAAATATTCATTTTATCAAAAAAAAAAAAAACATTTAAAAATCGTTCTGAATCGATTAACGAGGATTAGGCACCGATTCTATCTCTCAGCCACTTGTACTCGCTTTTCACCGCACCCCTCCCCCATGACACGCGTCGTCACTGTCGTCAGTCCGTCGGAAGCTCTCGAATGACGCCGTCGTCGGATGTTTCTATTATTTAATTTGTGCTGAAAAACCGAGACAATTTTTCTTATGAATAAATAGATTCATTTTTTTATCAAAAAACTTTATTTATGCGAGTACTATTTATTGGTGGCAAGAAAAAATTTTGTGGCTCTTTAAAAACTTTGAAATTTTGTAAATTGTAATTTTGGCTCTTCCGACTCAAAAGGTTGCCGACCCCTGGTCTAAGCAATAAAATGAACTGGTAAAACATTCATATCTTGGAGAATAAGGATTCGCATGAAACTATAGAACAGTCCAAAAATAAATATATTCTTTGCAGTATTAAAAAGAAAGATTTATAGTTGTTTTTTTTTTCTGAAGCACTAATGAACTTACTACTGTGAAATGTGTTGTCTACATTGAGTTAGTACTATAGTTGAAGGAGATTAAAACTTAAATTTTGTGCTAAGATAATGCTTGTTACAACAACATATGAAGATGCAAAAGTTTGAGTGACAATTTTCTTCATTACTGCATTGGACATACTTTTGTGATAAGTCTTTATTTCATTGGCCATTGAGATTACTGAATTTAGATTCATGAATGGCGATGCTCTTAGATTTTTTTTCTGTGAGATTTTCTGAAAAATTTGATGTTTGTGCATTTCTCTTTCTGTTACTTTGTAAGAGTTATAAGGACATATCATGCAAGCTATCAGTCAGATTGATGAAAACATATTGGAAAGATAAAGCATGAATTCATTATCATATTAATTTAATTAATGTGTGCAGGATTACAAGCAGGGCTTTTATTGAAGGATTGTAAGTATTGTTAATATTACATAATTATTTCAAACTACTAATTGGTGGAGAGATACAAAGCTTATCAAACCATATTGGAGTGTTAGAAAATTAAGATCGCATCATTTTTTAAGCGTCATATAACTCCACCAATTGAGGTATACATTTGGTAGTTTGGAATAATTATGTAACTCATTAGAGGCAAGAAGCTTGCAACTTTATACTGCTAATATCTTTAACAAATGAAAGTATAAATATTATTTTTTGCCACTATGTAGTTAATTTGAACTAAAATTTTATAGTTGTCAACATTTTGACTTAATCTGTAATGAACTGTGTGTATTTATATAACTTAATTTATTCATTTCTATTTTAGCAGCAAGAATTATCCATGAAGACTTAAATTTTAAATAAAAACCAAGCAAGTGTCATAATATTTTGAAGAAATTATATTATCACAATTTGGTATTCAGATTTTTTAATGACATGGTAAGTTAATTTCTCTTTTACTAAGTTTAATTTTATTTCATTTTAATTGTCTTAAAATAAAATAAAATTAAAATAGCTTTAAATATTTAATTTTACATAGTAAATTAAATCACATTTTGTTGTTGTTTTGGTCTATTTTAGTATCAATTAATCTTTGATAAATGAAAATACTGATTGTAAAATTTTTGTTTAATGAAAGTGTTTAATTATTTTGATGCATTAAACAAAAGAAAACACTTCATTAAAATTAGTTCCTTTACTTGTATAATGACTTTCATTGTTGGAGCAGAAAATTGCAATGAAATTAAGGACTAAATACAGTAGCCACTCATTATATTATGCTTGTTGGGAGACAAAGAAAAAGCACAATATAACAGAGTACTAAAAATTCTGGGCTTATATTAAACAGATTATACATGCTATGGAATATCCATCCTCAATTCTTTCATCAGAAAGTGTTTTTGATATAAATAAGCAGTTTTGCAATACTAAATTTTATTTATCTCTTATATTGTGAGAGAGATTGGGCTTGAAAAGGGGAAAACCCCACAATTTTATTTGGAAATTTTTCGAAAGAAAATTCATTTTTTGTTTTGAAAAGGAAATTTATTTAAATCTCAGAGAGGAAAAAAAAAACTTTTTCTCTCTTTATTACCGGAGGATGAGTGCATTTCTCTTCCCAGAGTTGTTTCCTTTCCCAGGGAACTCGGAATGTGTCACTAGGAACTACAACTAAAAATTCACTATTGATGGAAAACGACAACGTGACTTGGAAATAAAGAGAAGACCTCAAGGAACAGTGAGAGGGGTTGAGAGTCTGCAAGAATATTCCCTGTGTGACAGCCGAAAGAATTTATCATCATCGCTCGTCGCTGCGCGCTCCTCCCAAATATCCAGTGTTGCTCCGAATACACCTATGAAGATCTAACGGATCTCAACTTTCGATATACTTTAACTGCCATCCAAGGCAACAGAGACATTCCCAAGGCTCTTCAGCAACTCCACAGACATCTGGGAATCCGTACATAGTGCTTCAGATATTTATAACAACCCGCAATGTTATGTAAGCTCTCTCTCTCCGATTCGGTTCTCACGAAGAAGCTTTAGGGAAAATACCCTTTTGTAGAACTAGTTTAATAAATGAATGTTGTTATTGTTAGAATTGTGTTAGGTGCACTTCTTCAAGCGGTCTCCATCCCGAGTCCAACCGCCCACAGACGCGATTGCTCGTGTGTAAAGGCGAATTTAATGGTCTCTGTGTCTACCCAGAAGACAGTGGTGTCAGTCCTGATAAATTAAGCATTGTAGTCTTTGCCGATGCAATGTCGACCCTTCGGTCCTGTGATGCCGAAGCATAGGGGACCTTTCGGCATTGTCACAATTGTAATAATTGATGTTTACATAAACATCAATACCATGAACACCTATTTAGCATTATTGTTTCTTTAACAATGATATTTAAAGACAAACTGTTGATATAAAAACAAAATATCAGTTGTGATTTTATTATACAGTTATGATATTATATTTCATGATAAATCACTTATTAAAAATTCATGTAATTTATATTTTTCAATAAAAATTATAAATACAGTAATTGAAAATTAAAAAAATAAATATTGAACATATAATAGAACATCAAAACATAAAATTAGAGTAAAAATTCTCTAAAATGCAAAATAAAGTTACTACTGTATAAAAATTTTAGAACTTTCTATTCAGAAGTAAAGGAATCTTTTCTTTACACATTATGTGCTGAATTGGATATTCCACACCATTATGTGAATTTACAGTATTGTCAATTCACATAAAGGTGTGAATTTTCCAATTCTCAGAAACTTGTAAATGTGGAAATAATGCTTAAAACCAATAAATAGACAACTTTTAATATCAAAAGGAAACATAAATGGTAATTGATCTGTCCACCTGATTTGCTTATTTAGATCTTGACCAATTTGTTTCACCTGCAGTGGTGGTTTCAATGATGAGAATAAAACACTTTATTTTGTTGCAAAAAGAAATTCAATGGCAATTGGTAATTTAAAATTTATTGATTCAGCTTCTTTTAAAATTTGGGGACCCGAAAAAACACGATGTATCCAAAACCACAATATAATGAGGGGCTACTGTATTTAAATTTTCTTCTTTTTAAAAAAGAAGAGAGATTTGAATTCAAAAAGATTGGATTTGAAGAGATGTTTGATTAGAACAAATCAGAGAGAAGAAAAGAAAGGTTGTAGATGTATAAGTTGTTTTTAAGCTTTAAAAAAAATAAATTCTAAAATGTTTAGTTTTTCATTATTAATTAATTACTGTTTGAGCTTCATGACAAGAGGAACTTGATACAAAGAGGAAAGAATAGCTTATAAAATCATACTGGACTTATTTTCTTTAGATGTTATTTACAAAAATTACAATTACTAAATTTTTAAAAACAACCCCACACAAACTTTAAGGGAAATTAATTCTGGTGGATTTGGCTGGATCTTTAATATTATGTAATTCTAGTTGTCCTGATCAAAAGTCTCCATATGTACAAAGTCAAAAAATGAACAGTTTTTGACTTTTTACAATGGAGACTTTTGATTAGGGCAACTAGAACTACAAAATCTATCTATATAACCCATTCAACGCGTGTTCATCTGCGTAACGGTATGCCAAAAACGGGCACTAGAGGCACCCTAGCGATGATTTTAAATTAACAATAAATTATTTTTATTTGTAATAGGAATTTATTATCGATATGAATTTATTATTTATACCACAGAATGGTATAAATAATTATTATATGCCTTGCCTTATTATATGCCTTGAGTAACCTTACACCACACGTTTACAACATCCTGTGACTTTTAGTGAATGTCGCACATTGACTCACGGGAAATTTCTTGAAAAAATGGTGGATACATTTAAAATTGAGATTTACAAGCGAAGGTAAATAAACAAATTAAACTATTTTAAAGAATTTATAGAATGTTTAATAGGTAGGAATCTAGATCCATATGACACGATTGGGACTTTAACAGAGTTGTAGAGCATATTGATAGGAACAAAAAAGTCAAAGGAACTGTGCCTCAAGGGAATTTGTAAATATTTGCTAGTATTAAAGATTCAGCCAAATCCATCAGGACTCATTTCCCATATGTTTGTGAGGTACTTTGAAGTGTAAAAAAATTACAATTAGTCTTGATTAACTTGATAAAAGGAAAAGAATCTAGCAAAAGCAACCTTTCATCAATATTCTATCAATTTACAACACAGCAGTTTTAAAATTTCTAAACACTTAGTTGATTAGACAAATTAAAGCACTTTGTGTTTTACGATTGTCTTATACAAACTGTTGATGTCATATTACTTTCTGTAATATTTTGAAAATTTACAAATTATGATATCATTTTATCATTATTGTATAAGTTTATTTGAAAAGAATTGTGCAAATGAAAGCTGATTTATTTGTACCTGGAATAACATAGCAACAATAATGATGTGAAAAGACAGAATTCACCAAATTTCACATGTACAATATATTACAATTGCTCAATTTAGGTGTCATGCTGTTAATGACATGGCAGATGTCAAGACAGTAGTCAGTTCTGTAGTGTCCCAGCATATCCCCAAATATCAATTTTGTTGTTTCAGGTCGTCCAGGTGTTGTGACATTGGACGCTGTTAAAGTGTCTGTGCACCCACAAAGAAGTCGCAGGGTGTTAAGCACTAGTCTGTTAGCAAAACTACCCTCTTCTAACCAATCTTGCATTTCAATGCAAAAGTTAGTGTTTTGGCTTGTCATCTGGTGTTAGTACCTGCAGGAGCTACAATCTATATGGATTATATTGCAGAGACTTTTGTAAGATCCATCACACCATGGATAATGGATGGAACCTAGAGTCACATTAGTGCACATTGTCAATTTTCTTGGACTCCATTTGTACATAATTGAATCCTATCCACCATCTCTAGACTATGAGTGGCCTAGATTTTTCCCAAGGCATACATAGCTAGTGGATTCAAACTGCTTCATCCAACATGCACTGCAGTTCTTATGAGATGCATGTTTGTCAATTTGATCTGAAAGTGTTGCTGCACTGTCAAAACAGCAGCAACACTCAGATTAGTAACGAGATTAGTAATTAGTAGCATTATTATAGCCCAACATAATCCTGCAATCATTTGGCATTAATCAAAGAATCAGATTATTGGATGTTTATATTTATACACAATAGCTCTTGTTTGTGCAAATTCCATCATGCAAAATGCTTTCTCTTGCTTTGATGTCACTGTCTTGTACACACATCACTAATGCCAGTAACAGTAGTTATCCCCCCACTTACAAGAACTTTTGAGGCTTATCACCTTCATCTCCTTTTGTGATTGGTCAGTTAATGTTTTTATGATACTTGCTACAGACCTTTATTTTTGCACCATCCTTTTTTGAATAATCCTGTATTTATGAATTATTAATTTTTTAATTAAAATTATTAGCTATAATTTTCATGTATCAAATTGTTTCATAATTTATTAGTATTATAGCCATTATCTAGCCTAATGACATACAGCATTGGTTAACTTGTAGTTTTATGATGTATTGGGTTTTAGTGATGTTGTTTGTTTATAATTTTCATATTTTAGGGAATGCAATTCTCATTTATTATCACGATTATGAAAATTAGCAAGCAAGCTAGGAGGTGTTTATATAGTTGTTGAGATTTAACAAAATCTGGAAAAAAATAAATAAAAGACAGGTAACATAAAATTTATCATGTTGTCTCAGTATGAATTATATAATTTGTGTTTAACTTGAATACAGCTTTGCTTTCCTTTGAAGCACTAATTTATATTCAATGCTATAGTGTTACTATAGCATTGAATATAAATCATATTTTATCCAGAAAGAAGTATAAATTTATATTCTAGCTAACCTAGCTTGATATTCTTTGATCTAGGTACTGTCTTTGGATCAATATCACAAAATTATTTTGAATATTATAAAATGCAAATAGCTATATATACAAGATTAAAGATTGGAAACAAGGATATATAAGGAATTCTCTGGTACAGTTGAGATGTTTATAGTGATAATTTATGACAAGTGAAAAACCTTTGTTTTCAATGCATTAACTCTTCAGCATGATTTTGATTAGTGTCTTGATGTTGTTTTATACAAATACTATCAGTTTAAGATAATATAGGATGCAATTAAAATTAAAATTTAGTGGCTAATTTAAAGTTTATAGAGATTTAATTTATTTGTAAAACAAAATTTGAGGATTGAAAAATTAATTCAATTATAATAATAATAATTATTATATAATGTACATTATAATCTTGTTAAATAAATATATATATATATATATATATTTTATTTTAGTCACAGGCTGAATTTCTGAAAGGTCTCCCTTCTTACAATGAAAATAATTTTGCTCGATTTCAAGCAGATTCTTCATGCAAGATAACAGTAAGTGAATTTCATTGTAATAATTTATAAGAAGTTATTTATTTATTTATATATAAATATGATAAGTTATAGAAAATAATAAAGTGATATTATTTGTTAATGATAAGAAACTTTATTAAAAAAGTTAATTTTAAAACTCAAGATAAAATTAGTGAAAGTTTTTTGTTTGTAATTAGCAAAATTGTTTGACATGGCAACAGATTTCCATATTTATGTCATGTTCAACAAGAGAATAAAAATCAAGGTCATTTTATATGAATGGAAACACACAATTCAATAATTATTGTATGTTTCCATCTTGTTAGTAGCTTGTAAATTTGTCATTTTTTAAAATAAAAATGAACAATTATTTTATTCTGCAGCCTGGCATTGTGTTTACATCACAATGCCAGGCTACAGATTTTAATTTATTTCGTTTAAAATGTAGGCTTTGATTTTAGTACAGAGTAGTACAGGGCGGCTTACTCTTGTGCATCATACTTTTCCTGTTAACAGTGGTCATGGAATCATCTATCTAACTCTGTTCTGAAGAAAATTTTTGAATTGAAATAACATGACTTCCAGTCCAAACCAGAATTTCATATATAATCTGTCAAGTCCTTCTGCCCCAAAGCTTTCCAAATCTGATCTTGACTTTCATCTATCTGTTAATCTTGAGTGTGTGTCTGTCCTTCCTTAATCCTGAGAATCTCAAGATTAAGAAAGGACAGATAAACAGATGGATTCCAGTAGGAATTTACAAACTTATTTTATTATTGGGCTGTGATTTGAAAATTGCAGCCCAATTTTTAATGTTAATATTTTTATTTTTAAGATTTCTGTCATAAACTTTATGCTATTTGCCTCAAGTTGTGTGGCTAATAACTGAAGATGAAATTGTCAGAATCCATAAACTTTTCATGGTAATTTGTTCCTGGGTGTAGAAAATGTCATTGAGGTAGTGTAGGCTTGTTAATGATTACAGTTGTGGCAACAATGCCACTCTCATTTAGTGGAAATCTTTGATTGTAGATACAGATACACAGTAGCTTTTGATATTTTGTTAAGAACATCAGGACATGATAAGTTTTGACAAGTAAATTAATTATAGGCATTAAACACAATAGTTTGACCTTGTTTAGCTACAGCAACAACATTACTGGTTACATTTTCTAGACTAAGGCATGACTACTATTCTTATTTGCTTTAATGTAATTTATACTGTTAAAATCTGTTTTATAATAATTTTAATAATAATCATATAGCACTTGAAATATTATTAAACAACTTTCAAGTGAGGGGAAAATAATAATAGAGATCTTTTAGTTACATTTAATAAACAGTTATTGGATGATCTGCAGATAATTTCAGTATCCTAGATGACTTGAAATTTGCAATCCATCAGCTCCTTACCATAGAAGATGTGTTTTCTTTTATTGAACAGAGTATAGTTATTTATGGAAAGAAATAAAACTGAATTTAATAAAATAGTTATTGGCAATAAAACTAAAAAAGTTGAAATTAAAAAACATTAATTATTATAAATTAGTAGTATTTACTGTTTCAAGCACCTTTTAAACTGGCCTAAACATAGATTTTGTTTTTATTTCTTTTGACTTATAATAACAATCGTAAATCTAATTTTTTAAAGTTGCCAGATATAGTAATTTACTATCAAAGTGACTAAGTTAAATAATGAAGGATGAAAAATTAGAGACTGGAGCATAGAAACTAAGATATAGTCAAACGATTTAGTATCACTATTTTGTCACCTCTGAAATTAGCATCAAAATAAGTTTTGTGTTAAACTGAAGAATTTCAAGTTTCTTAAGAAACTCAAAACTCATGTATAGATTATTATTATTATATACAATAATCTATACATGAGTTTTGAGTTCGAAAAATCTCATAATTTTGGTGATGATGTTTGCAATGCAAAATTGTACATTTTAGTAATTCAGTAATTGAAAGGATGCCTGTCTAATATTTATAGGAAAGATTCATTCATAAGCATTTGTTGGCACTATATCAAGGTTTGATTGTTTAAGTTAATCATAAAATACTCTAATTAAATATTTTAATTTTTAAATTTGATTAATCTTAACATATTTAATACTTTAAATAGGTAAAGAAGCCTTCTGTATATCTTCCTACAAAAGATCATCCTTCTGAGCAAAGTATGTTATGCATTTATCTTATTAATTATTTTTTTATAAAATATTAAATTATTTTTTTGTTTCAGTTATTACAACAGAAAAAACAAACATTCTTTTAAGATTTTTACATCAGCAATGGGATAAAAAAGCTATGGTAAGTTTGCTAATTATAATGAAACAGTTTTATGGTAAATAATTTTTTATAGATTGATGATGATGTTTTTTACAAATAATTTATTGCAAACAGCAAAATGCTTAAGTTATTGACATCTGCTAAATCTTAAACCTAAGTATATGACATTTTAATGATGATACATACAAATTATATGTACTAAAGAATATCTACTCTAAACTTATTAGTTTAAATCAAATAAATAAGCAATTTATATATTGTAATTTTTAGTTTGTTAGAAGTATCAATGCTTAATTTTCAGTGTACTGTATGACTTGCTTACTGTAATGTCTGGATATGATGACAAAGATCTTATACTTGTATCATTGTTAGAAATTTCTTTAATAATTGTACTTCTTTTGTCTTGCTGATAACTTTGATGACACTCCTTTTTTTTCTGCTGTATTTATCACTTAACAAATGTCAATTACAGTTGCAGATCTGCTCAAATGTTTGGCAATCTCTTGATTTGTTTTCCTTCAGTTTTCAAAATAGTTATGTCTTTTTCAAAAATGAGCATCCTGTGGCATGATGACAGGTTTGTGCACAACAAAAATACACAAAATGAATTGTTCACTAGGCCCTATGCACAAATAATTATGCATCTGAATGAGTGCAATCTCTGTCCAAATAAACAATTGCTCACTTGTAAACTTTTGGGACACACAAATCATTGAATGTTGATAAATTATTCAATAAAATAAGTAATTTTTTTATTACAAGATCATTTTTCTCATCATCTTTTATGAAACCTATGAAATGAAAATGTAAACTCATTTTATTGATCAAATGTAAGGTTTTAATATTTTTCCAATTAAAATAATTGTCTTTATAATTATGGGACACATCTAACTTGAAATTTAATTGCAGCTGAAATTTTTAATCTTATGATATATTTTTTAAATCTTTAATTACTTTAATTAATCCTACTTTTAAATTCAAATACTTTCATATATATGATATAAGAGTTGTTGAATGATTACAACTCTCATATCATATATATCAAGGGTGGGCAACCTTTTTTATAACATGGGCCAGAATAAATTTTACGTTTTTTCCGCGGGCCATAGTAGTTAATTGACACCTTGTGACCTGTAAATTTTTAGTCTGCAATTATGAAATAAATAAATAAATAAATAAAAAGAAATTAATTACTACAGTCGACCCCCCATAACACTGTTGATTATTCCGTTTTATATGAATTCCATGTTGTATGAGTCACTTAGATTTTACAAATGCGTGTGCCGGGCTGTGAACGGCTCACCTTTTTGTAAAATCTAAGTGACTTTAAACACAATAAAAACAGCACTATGTAGTTGGATACGACAGACATTACATTTTCTAATTGCATAGCTTTTGCACATAGATTTTCTTGATGGATGATGCGATGAGATATAAATAATTTAGAAAAATTCTGTTCTCCCATTTTTTGTTTGAATAAGGAAATGACTCCCTTATTTTTTCCTGTCATTGCTGCCGCAACACTTCAGAAAATAATATTCAATTTAAACTAGACGAATTACATCGAAAAATATTTATTTATAATTTCTTCTAAACATCTCGCGGGCCGGATAGAAACTCTTCGCGGGCCGTAGCTGGCCCGCGGGCCGGGGGTTGCCCACCGTTGATATATATGAAAGTATTTGAATTTTTACTACAATAAATGATCGTTAGTATCAATTGTGATATCCAAATTGAACCAAATGGAAGAATTCCAGCATCACAAATTTTTTTGGGAGTATATTTGTGAAAAATTTGAATCTGCATTAAAAAGTGGGAAGTAGAGTGTGGATGCTTTTCCATTCTGTGTTTCTTTCATTGATATTTTGCTACAGTTCTGAGTTTTACTGAGTTAGACTGAAGTTTTGTGATAAAAATCACTAATCTTATGAGCTTATTCTTAACATTCCCCTTGCCTTGTTTGTTTATTTACATTGTTTTGTATATTGAAATATAAAATATACAATATCATTACAATGTTTTCATTTCTGTCTACTGTAAATTAAACAGAGTTTCTAAACAATTCATAATAGATGTACTGTATAAATTTATTCATTGTGTTACTATTTATAAACACATCCTTTATTATCTTGTGAAATGTTTTTTAATAAATTAATCGGCATTTGTAATGTTAATATCATGCTAAAACCATAGATTTGTAGATAATTAGGTGTTTGCAACATTTGTGCCATTTGGAGAATTGGTTGCAGTTATTTGGTTGTTCCAGGAACAAGTTATAATGGAAAACACTTCCCTAAAAAATTAATTCTTATCTCTGAATTTTTTATATTTAAATTGTTTTCTAGAATGCATTATAAGTTAAATTATAGTAGTAGTACTTTTTATTGTGAAATTTAATCAATTGTTAAAACATTTACTTCATTTCAGTCTTCTTTTATTTTGTATTGATATATCACTTGGATCTTAGTCTATTGTTAAGTTTTGTAATAGAATCCAAATAAGTTATTATGTAAGAGGATTTATCAGAAATTAAATTTGTTTTTATTTTTAAAATAATTAAGCAATATACAAAAATTCATGAGTACCTTAGAAAAAATTTGTTGAAAAATAAGAAACAATGAGAGTCAATGCTTGTAGAGATATTTATCCAATCTAACAATCAGATGTTTCATTCTTCTGTAATAGAAATCTGGGCATTGATGATTCAGCTGCTGACAAAACTAATGTTTGACATCCTTATCTGTCTGGAATTATCTCCCATGCAGATGTTTCTTCATATGGAGAAACAAATGAAAATCTGATGGAGCTAAGTCTGGGTCATATGGTGGATGGTAAAGAATTTACCATTTCTGATCTCTTCTGAAGTTTAGTGCTACCTTTTGCTGCTTATGGACAGGTATTGTCATGAAGGAGGAGACTTCTGTTTGAGAAGTAATTTGTTGTTAGAGGCTTGGTCTCTTTTCAAAGCATTTCTTAATAGAAAATTGCATTAGCTGTTAGATGTGAAATCAATCCATGAACACCCCAAAAGACAGTGGCCATTACTTGGGTAAGTCTTGAATTTTCTTGTAGACGGGTTTGTGGGTGTTTCCAGGACCTTGGAAAACAGCTTATGGAAGACAAACTGGAGTTGCATCATTATAACAATAGAGCATAAAAATCCAAATTTCTTTCACAAGTGTATGGAAGACTTAATTGTTAGATTAGATATCCTTAAATATATCAGCAATGGTGGAGACAAAAAATAAGAAACATGTGGATGTTTTCTAAAGCTATTTATGAATTGTATAGCTTAATTCCCTATTTATTTTTAATATTTAAACTTAATTCTGATATGCTTTTGATATAATATTGAACTGCACTTATGAAGTCTTGGTGTAATCATCATGCTTTCACAATATTATGTTACGTTATATAGTATTTCTATAATGCTAATTTTTTTTAAGACAGAGCACTACATATGTTCAAAACTGTTTATCTTATTTATAATAATAATAATAATAATCTTTATTAGCATAAAGGGAAGTATCCCTGTTGCAGGGGGTTATACAGAGAGATGATATAAAATTTTTATAATATTTACAAAATATATAGGATATTAGTATTAAACAATTTGATAGTTACAATAATATTATTTACATTAATAATCAGATGTACAATATTGGTAGTTTAATATACTGGCATAGATTTACATTTTTGTAATTTTAGTGAAAAAGTTATACAGACTGTAGAGATCTTTTTTATTCAGACTATTTAAAGTATTTCTATAATCTTGAGATGAGTCGTTTTGGAGTATTCGGGAGATGTTAAAAGTTTCACGTATTTTTGAAAGACTTTGACATTTTTGAAATAAGTGATCAATTGAAAAGT